GGGGTGACTTCATCCCCCCCTCCCCTTCCTGGTCTGCATCCAGCCGCCCCGCCCCCGAGGAGCTGCTTCTTCCTTCCCGCTCCCCCCACCCGGGCGAGTCAGGCCTTTGTCCTCAGGACACTGCAGAAACTCCCGCACTGTCCGCGAGTGGGATGGGGGCTGGTGCTGGGCCTCTGAGGAGGGAAGGGGAGGAAGAGACCAGGCAGAGGGGACTCGGATGAGGGCTGGGCACTCATTACTTAGATCCCCAGCAACTTGACAGCCCCCCCCTAGCAGACTCTCAGCTGCCTCTGTGCCCTAGTTTCCCATCTGTTCAATTGGACTCAGCTACCCCCAGGGCCATGTTCAGGACAGATGTGNCAGGTGGATCAGATGAGGGCCTGGTGACAGCAAGGACTGAGGGGGATAGGAGTCAGAGGACGGAGGATTCTGCCTTGACTTCAGGAGGCAGTTGGGGCCCTACCGTCTCTTCTGTGCCTGGGGTCAGCCCAGAGGTCACCAGCCCAGGACCTGCCCAACTCCCAAGTGAGGCACTAGGACCCAGAACCCACAGCCCTCCCTTCAAGGGGTTGCCTCCTGGTTGGACACCCCGGCCACACCCAAGAGATTGATGGGAGCTACTTTCCCAAAGAAGCTTTGAATCCACCATCCAGAGGGCATCCCAAACCCACCCCACTTAGACCCCCCTCATAAGTCAAGGGGTAGCTGGGCGGAGCATAGAGGAGGCCCAGGGCAGAGCTGGGTGCCAGGAATCTCAGTTTGGGAGTATGCCTGTGGAGGACACTCTGGTCCGCCCCCAGGCTCAAGCTTCCTTCCTGGTAGGGATGGGAAGGGAGAGGAAGTGGCAGCCAGGAATCCAAGAATGAGGAAATGGGAATCAAGAGGGGGAATCTCCAGAATCGGGCTTTGGGGGGCGGGGAACAGGAAAAAGAGAGACACAAGAACAGCCCACAACAGAGTAAGTACAGCAGGCTCTGTGGACAGGCCGGGTGCCATACCTTGCCTTCCTGGGAAGCCCTAGCAGACTCTCAGCTGCCTCTGTGCCCTAGTTTCCCATCTGTTCAATTGGACTCAGCTACCCCCAGGGCCATGTTCAGGACAGATGTGGGTGCCCTGGGGACTCCCTGGGATCTCTGTAGCTCATTTGTCTGAAGCAGCCACAGTGCTTCCTGTGGGGGTGTGGGTATCCCTGCAGGGCCCCCTGGGCCAGCCCCTGGGCCCCACTCCAAGCTGCTCAGCCATGGACATGTTCAAACCGAGACACAGTGACAAGAGACCAGATAAAAGCCAACATCCCCAGGGCAGGGTTGCTAAAGAACGACATCTAGTGTCAAGCCAGCCCTGGGTTCAAGTTCTGCTGCTCTTTTAATAGCTGCATGACACTGAGCAATCACTTCACCTCTCAGAACCTCAGTCTTCTCATCTGTAAAGTGGGCAGTGAGCAGCACCTGGCACATGGGTGGTTGCGAGGATCCCAGGAGACCCCACAAGCCTCAGAGGGCACAGCCCCTTCACCTTGGTCTGCTCTGCAGCACACAGTCTGTGGAAACTCCTGGGAGCCTCGCGTCCGGCAGCAGCAGTTCCCACACACAGTATACGGACAAGGCTGCAGAGAACATTTTCATTCTTGTTCCTCAGTGCAGCTCCCCCAAAGACCAGCAGGGCCCGAGGCATCAGTGTCAACACTCCTTTCCTGGATGTTTATTTTTTATTATTACTAAAATTTGCAAATATATTAAAGAGCCATAAGAGTTATAGTGTTAACAACAATATACCCACCACCTAGATTGTACAGTTGTTAACACATTGGTATAATTACTTTATCATATATCTCCATCTATCCATCAATCCATTTTGTTTTCCATTCATTTAGAGTAAATTGCGGACATCAGTACATTTCAACTCTAAACACTTCAGCACCCAAACCTTTTGTCAGGGAGATTACATTCAGTGAGAAGTACAAATCTTGTGTGTTGGGAGTGATTTTTTAAAATTGGTTCCTGCTTAGTGGGCTGCCTTTGGGACTGCTTAGGTTGGATTAGCCCCTACTGAGCATCATCTGAGTTGGGTGAATTCTGCCATAGAGCCTGCTGGGGTGGGAGTGGGGGTGAACAGCCCCAGAGAGTGGCCTCCTGGAGGGGCAGACATATGTGGGAGGCTGGGACTTCCTGATTGGGTCCCGACAGGGAGCTGGCATGGGGTCAGGACTCAGGGCCATGCCCAGAAACACGGGGCCTGGGCCCCATGACCAGGTTCTAATCCTGGCAGCTTTGAAACTGAGGGCAGGTCGCCTCCCATACTGGAGCCCCCTCCGTTCCTGACTGCAGGGTGGAGGGACAGTGGGTGCGGGGCTGTGCAAAGGCTCTGACTAATCTCCCCGCCCCTCACACAGGGTCTCTCCTTCATCACCTTTGTCTGCTATGTGGCGTCCTCAGCATCCGCCTTCCTCACCGCGCCCCTGCTGGAGTTCCTGCTGGCCCTCTTCTTCCTCTTTGCTGATGCCATGCAGTTGAATGACAAGTGGCAGGGCTTGTGCTGGCCCATGATGGTGAGGGCTGGGGCCCCAAGAGGAAGCGGTTGGCTGGCCCTCACTGAGAATCATGCATTTCAGCCCGGCCCTTTCTTCAGTGCGCTGGAAGGGCTGTTTGCTATTGGTTGGAACCAGGCGGGTAGACTTGGCTTCAGATGATCTGGGCCGCACCACTCAGCAGCCAGGTGACCGGGATCAGGGGCTCCAGGTCCCTCTGTAAGGCAGGGAACCCCAGACTGCATCCTTGCCCCTGGCCACCAGGTGGCACTGGTGCTCCCAGCTAGGCCTGCGGAATGAGTCTCAGCCACAGGAATTCAAGCCATTTCAACACGGGCAGGGCAGGTTAACAGGACTTGCAGGGTTTACCCAGACCCCAGACCTCTGGCAACTCGTTTTATCACCTGGGAGGGCCCAGAGCCTTGCCTCAGACTTTGCTGTATGCAGTGCGTCAATGGGTCAGAGAAAGGGACAGGAAGCCTGTACTTGAACACTGATCTTTTTTTTTTTTTTTTAAACAAAGTGAGTTTAAAAAAAAAATTATTGATTTTAGAGAGAGGAAGGGAGACAGAAACATCAATGTAAAAGAGAAACATCAATAGGCTGCCTCTCCCATGTGCCCCAACTGGGGATCAAGCCCACGACCTGGGTATGTGCCGTCACTGGTAATCGAACCCACAACCTTTTGATGTAAGGGGCCATGCTCCATGCTCTACCCAACTGAGCCACACCCACCAGGGCAAACTCTGGTCTCTTCTTGACTTCATACCCAGCATTCTTCCTGATGGGCTGCACCCTCTGTGTCCCCATTTTAGGGACAAGTAAACAGAAACCATAATACAAAAATGGATCTGCAACAAGTATGTGGCAAAGTGAGGCCCAGAGCCAGATCCCCACAGGGCAAGCTGCAGCCTGGTGCATACCCTGTCCTCCACCAGGCAGAGGACGACAGCTCAGCTGGACCAGGGACAGGGCAGTCTCATCTGCTGGCAGCCCACAACAGGCACCTGAGCAGGGGTAGGAGTGGGGGTGGAAGGACAGGGCGGGAGCCCCACAGATGCCTATTTTATCACCCAGGCATCTGGAGCCAGGCATGTGTCTAGGCTGCCAGGCCTACCCTCCTCTGGGAACAGTGGGATTCCAGCCCTATATCTGCCACCTGGTACCCTTCTGAGTCCCTCTCCCCTGCCTAAGCTCCCAGCTGGTCCCCTCCCCTGCTGTGCCCCACTCTATGGAGCTCAGGACAGTATGACCATCATGCCCCTCTCTCCCCAGGACTTCCTACGCTGTGTCACAGCGGCCCTCATCTACTTTGCCATCTCCATCACAGCTGTTGCCAAATACTCAGATGGAGCTTCCAAAGCAGCCGGGGTGAGTAGCTGCCCTACCCCTGGGAGGGGGGTGCCCAGTGATGTCCCCCCAAGTTCACCCCACCCTTCCTAAAGCCCCAGATATGTCTTGGGACACCTGCTTAGCATCTGTGGCATATTCTGTCCTTGCTTAGGTCCCCAAAGGCCTCTTATTGGAGATCTACTCTGCCCTGAGTTTTGAAAGGCTGTTTGCCAGCCAAGTTAACAGCTTATTTTCCCATCTATCATTAATGGGAGGGGCCTGTTCCTGCCAATCTGAGCTGCTTATCCAAGCAGATAAAAACAGGGGTGAGGCTGGGGCAGCTGCTTCTCAGGTTCCTGGATCAGGGACTCCCAGCTCCTGATGGCACATCCCATCCACCCTGTATCCTACAGGTGTTTGGCTTTTTTGCCACTATCGTGTTTGCAGTTGACTTCTACCTGATCTTTAACGACGTGGCCAAATTCCTCAAACAAGGTGGCTCTGCAGACGAGACCACAGCCAACAAGGAGGAAGGTGGGTGGCCACCTTGTGGGTTTCCTCCCAGAACCTTGCAGATCACCCCAGGACAGTCAGAACAGGGGCCCTCCGCTCCCCTGGGGACACTTGACACTTGGCTGGTTTGATGCTGGAGTAGGAGGGTTTCCTCTCTCCCCATGGGCAGGAAGTGTTTTCACAGCCTGGTTCTCATGTCCCTTCATGCAGCGCTGATCATAAAGCCTGTCCCCTCAGAGGAGCACTAGGCTCCCCAGGGCCTCAGCCTTTCCAGGAAGGGCAAGCTGAGGGCATGCCTGACACCTCCATCTCTGTTAAATGGTCCCTGACGAGCCCTCAGGGCAGCCAGTCAGTTGTTTCAACTCCTAGGCACTGTCCACTGGGCTGCAGAGTGGCCATCTGCTCCAGCCAGCACCCCCTACAGTCTGGCCTACCCATGGCTTAAGGGGCAGAGAACCAAGCTCTCATCCTTCCCCACAGCACCCAGGCAAGTTCAGGCTTGTTCTGCTTTTTATACCCAAGGAGAGTGCAACAGACATTCTGAGCCCTCCGCCATCCTTCAGCTCAGAATGATTGTTGTGCCATTACCTAATTAAAAAACAAACAAACACAAAAACACAAAAGGCTGCAAGTTGGATGGCTGGTTTTCCATCTGTGACAACACAGCCATACCATATTTCTGATCACAGTATAAAGTAAGGATTGTGACGGGG